AAGTTAGTTGTAAGAAAAAGCCCCGCCTGTAGCTGCTTAAGCCGCAAGGCAGCAGCATAATATAAAAAACATTCATAGAAAATAAATTCCCCTTCTTCACAGGGTTACTGTGGAGGGGACAAAAGAAAAAGAGCATACTCCCTGGTATGCTCGCGTAGGTTACTGGTGCATCACACCGGATATGATAGTTAATTATCGGGCCAGCGGTGGTGGTAACCAGGGAAAGTTCCTTCTTGTAACGGTCAAATTTGTTATTTGTAAATATTGTAATTAGTATTATGGTGTGGGAGTATTTTTATTCAATTAAATACTTAATATTTACAAACCGTTCACGTCTGTAATTTATTGCCCCGGCAAAGACGTCACAAGATGTTACGCAGTTACATGAATCTCTCTTACTGCGTCTGAGCGTGATCTAAAGAACTGTTAAAAATCAGTAGTTGCGTAGAAAAACAGGGGCAAATACCACACGTATAAATATCCGTTATATGCATTTTGCAACTATATGTTCACTGGCAAAAATTGGTCATTTTCGCATCCCTAGAAGTTCGTAAGATTTATTCTGAGGCGCCAGAATTGCTTAAAAAGTTGCTAACGACCCACACGTCATTAAGTCCGCGCGCAGGACAAGGGCACCATCTGCCGGTATGTTAATTTCTAACACTTCGATTGCATTATGCGCTAACAAGGTGTACGAATGTTTAAATCGAATCTTACCTCTTTGGAGCGGAACTGCTTTGGGGCAGACAAATTCTTTCCGTCATTGTTACCGAGATGGTTGTAACTGACTATGGACACTGGCTTGATGCCGGCAGACACCAGAAAATCTACGAGGACAGACTTGAGCTTCGTCTGACCGGATTTGAAGTCGTCTCCAGCGATGAAAGTTCTATGACGCTCCGCCAGCTCGATGCAGCCGGGCACGAAAGTGTTTTGCGGCGACCCATTTATATAAATGCACTGCAAACATGGGAAATCAGTGATTTTAGATGACTCCCTATGTCCAATGAACAAAATAAGCTATGTTCCTTTTGAGAGAAAAGGTTGCTTAAAATGTGAAGTGTCAGAAGAGAACCACCTACTGAACATTCTAAGCCGTCTATTTAATAAAAGAAAATATTGAAATTAGCTACAAGAAACTGGTTCAATACGAAAATGTTTCCGTTAAAAACAGCTAATTTTAGCTTTAATACGCATAGCGTTAATTTTTAACGTAATAATGTAATTATCCCTTCCTTACATTCAATTCATTCTTTCTTTGTTTTTAACTGTCTGACATTTTCAGTAATCTTTTTTAACTTGAAATTTATTTACTCGTGAATTTTGTAAAGGACCTTCTGCCATCTAGATGCACTTTACACTAGAAATAACATAAATTAAATAACGTTACTGAAATATTATTCCTTTTTCGATTCCTTCATCACGGTGATGAGGATGGCTGTGACAAAAACGAAATGCGTAAAAAGACAAATTATAACAACTAATTGCTGTAAACCATAATAGTAATTTGATTGTTTAGACAGATCATTACACTCAAAGTGCATCAGTGTCCTCCTTTGGATGTAAAGTACTATCTCATTTCTCTTTCCGCCAGAATTTGTGAGTGGTGTAGAAGAGTTTCTATTCGTCTTGTCAACAGTAATTGAATGAGACATCAATAGGTGCTTAAGGTAGAGGTCTTAAAATTCCCCCTACTACGATTACAATACTTAAAATCTATCCCCAAATGGTCTTTCGATAAATACCGTCGGATGTTATCGAAGAATTCTCAGAAAATTGTCAATTACCTTCCTATAAAACTACGTCGCGTTAAATGAAACCTTATTTACTCCGAAAGGTGAACCGGAACACGTCCAACCGTTAGTCTTGGACGCAGAGATACCTGGATTTATTATAATATTATTATTATTATTATTTATAATATTGTTTCCGAATGCATGAATTGCTATGGTCATCATATGTATAGTGCCTGTTTATACTAGGAGGTGAATGTATTCTTTTTCAGCTGTATCTCCTCCAGCGGGGCACCTCCTCAGCGGGGATACGTTCTGAGCTCCCGACCAGTCTCCCGGCAGCGTGGTACTGCAGAACATGTAAGTGTAAACTCTGTGTAAGGAGAAAGAAAAGACCAAAAATAGACAAAGATTGCGTGAGGTCCGTGGCTCATTTGTTAAGGCGACATTCGCTTGATGTTAATCGGAAAGACCAGAGAAAACTACCAATCAGAGGCCTGCCTGATTTGCCTGATCTAGTCAGCCTTCATAATCCCGCCAGCAACGGGACTGAACGCCTAGTAACGACTGACCCCCTCGAGGATGGCCGCGACGGCGAAGAGCGTGGAGGGCGAGAGCTCGGGCGCGCCGGCGCGCACGGCGGCCAGCAACGCGTCGGCCGAGTCGTTGAGCCCGGGCAGCACCTCGCAGAAGCGCTCTGTGTTGGCCGTCCACAGCACCACCACGCGCTGCACCCCGCTGCGCGCCCGGAAGGCGCGGATGTCCGCGCGCAGCTGCTCTAGCTGCTCTTGCTTCGACCCCGACAGAACGTTGTCTGCGCGCTGCGCCTGCGAACACACACGCAACCTTTCATTCGATCACCTGAAACATCACCCATGATAATCAAAGAAATGCTCTTCAAATGCCTAAAGCAAAGAGCATATATGATTAAAACCACTTCAAATGAACAAATCACGCATTGGGTATGATAGTAATGTTATAGAGGCTTCATCCCTACGTTCAAGTGAACTCAAAGAAAGCAAACGTGATTTGGTCTGTACCAGGAAATCAGTCTCTCTTCGTCTGTGTCACAGGCATCGTCTCTCTCCCTCAGTCTCTCGGTCTCTCTATCCGTGTCTCGGTCTCTCTATCCGTGTCTCGGTCTCTCTATCCGTGTCTCGGTCTCCCTATCCGTGTCTCGGTCTCCCTATCCGGGTCTCGGCCTGTCTATCCGTGTCACGGTCTCTCCGTGTCTCGGTCTCTCTATCCGTGTCTCGGTCTCTCTATCCGTGTGTCGGTCTCTCTATCCGTGTGTCGGTCTCTCTATCCGTGTCTCGGTCTCTCTATCCGTGTCTCGGTCTCTCTATCCGTGTCTCGGTCTCTCTTTCAATCTCGGTCTCCCTTTCAGTCTCGGTCTCCCTTTCAGTCTCGGTCTCCCTTTCAATCTCGGTCTCCCTTTCAGCCTCAGTCTCTCTGTCTCAGTCTCTCTTTCCGTCCAGTCTCTCTTTCAGCCTCAGTTTCTCTTTCAGTATCAGTCTCTCTTACAGCCTCAGTTTCTCTTTCAGTCTCAGTCTCTCGTTCAATCTCAGTCTCAGACTCTCTTTCAGTCTCAGTCTCTCTTTCAGTCTCAGTCTCTCTTTCAGTCTGTCTCTCTTTCAGCC